CTTCCCGGCGCCGGCCGCGCCGGGGGCTGCCCCGCGTGTCCCCGGGTAGCTAAAGCATAAGTCGTTATGTGCTTGAGTACCGGCAAGCGCCCGTGCAGCCTCGGGGGACGTGTGCGGACGGCTCCCGGGGGATGGGAATAGTCATGCTTGACTGTATGGGCGTCACACTCAGCGCCCGGGGACAAACAATAAATGTCTTGTATGAGCGATTGCAAAGGAAACGGAGGAGAGTTGTTTAGTCTGTCCGTGGGGCTTAATGGCTCTGCAAAGTGATCTAATTGCTTCGCTACCTCCACACTGGCATCCGTAGCTCCGTGCCAGGGCTCGTCCAGCTGGGAAGGCACAGAGGGACCTGGCGGCTTCCTGCCGTTGCTGCTCACTGTGTCCAGTGAGGCCCAGGGCCGTGGCCGGGCCTGCTCCGCAAAACCCCAGCTGCAAGAGGTGAGAAAAAGCCCCAAAAGCGTTGCCAGACTGAGGAGGGCATCCAGCTTCCAGCAGCACTGAGGGCCAGTGGCCAAACTCCCCAGTTTTATGTCTATCTTCCCCATTAAAACGTTTGCTGTGGTAAATGAGGACATGCAGCAGCAGAAGGATATTGTGGGGGATGCACGTGGCAAAGGGGTCGTTCCAAGCTGCGCGGTGCCCCAGAGCCCTCCCTATTCCACCCCTGTCTGTCCTGGCCCCGAAATCCCCTGCAGGGCTCCCAGTCCCTCCGCTTCCCAGATAAGCCAGCCTGGGGGATGGGAAGCACACGGCTTCCTATAGCCCTGAGATTACTCAGGCCTAGGTGAACATTCAAACAAAAAGTGAATTTATTATCTTTGCTCCGTATATCAGCGGTGAGCAACAGGAAACACCCCAAGGCCCTTCTGGTCGCAGGCCTCTCTCCTCTCCCTCACGTCGCCCCCAAAGGAGGTGCAGACCCACAGGCACGCGGCCGCTGCCGGCTCGCGGAGCGGCACATTCCCCTGCATCCTCCACGGGGCTCAGGCACTTCGAAACCTCCCCGCAAAGGTTTCTCGGGATTTGTGGCGTCGGTGCACAAACCAGATACCCGATTTTCATTCTCAGCCCAGGGAACCATCCACTGCCAAAGAGCTTTGAAACACTGACATCCCTCAAGGTCCTTGGGGAGCAAAATGTTTCCCTCGCACTGGCCAGGACTCAAAACTACTTATGTAACTCCTTTACATGTGGGAACTATAAGCTGTAAACCACATGGACAGAGGGGCCTGCTCTGCAGGGCCGGATAGCGCTCACACCGCTCGCTGGGACGCTCTGCTCCAGGATCCCACCACGGGCTGGCACCAGCAGCACAACTGCGATGAGCAGAGCAGGTCTCAGCGCAGCTGCACTGCCACCTCCTGCAATGGCTGCGCTCCTGCAAGCTGTTCCTCCTGCACCAGCCCACGCTGGGCTGCGAACTCCAGAAGAAAGTCTGCCCTGAAGCTGAGTACAGGACCCTGGCCAGGCTGGACCCTGAGCTGCCGCAGCAGCTCCTGCCCGCGGCACACCGGAGAAGCCCAACCCGGCTGTCTTTGTTTGGATTATGTTCCTAACGCAGGGGAACATGCACATCCTTTTATACCTGACACTAAATCCCTTTATCCCTCTCTCCAAATTCTATTTATTAGGTTTTGTGCTGGTACCAGATGAACACTTGCATCAAGGGAAGCTAAATGCAAGCAACTCAGTGCTCACAATCCCCAGGAAAGCAACCCCGGAGGAGCTAAACGGCACTGGGCAGACCTGGGGCGGTCCCTGCACCGCCAGCCCGGGACCCTGCACCGAGCGGCTGCCACGGGACAGCCCAGCCCGGAGCCTCAGGCCAGCGCTGGAGCTTGGCTGCAGCGGCTCGGGAGCATCCGGCCTTGCTGTGCTTCCCTCTGCCGGCAGCCGCCCCGCAGCTCCGCGGATCAGCTCCGGCACCGGAGCTGGAGCAGACTGCAGGGGCAGGGGCGTAGCGCGAGGGGCAGCTGCTCTTTTGCAGGTTTACCTGCTACAGCTGTGCTCGGGCAGACAGCACGACGGGCAGACAGCGAGGGCTGGCCCGCGGAGGGGCCTCGCTGCACCCATCTGAGGAAGGTTTTTGGCACGTGCAGCACCCTAGGCAGCCAAAAAGGGAAGATCTCAAGTCTCCTTGCTCCTGCACAGCTTCTGCGATGGGTTTATCTGAAGGCAGCCCAGCACACTCAGGTGTGTCTGCCCTGTCTCTACCCCCTCGTTAATTGCAACCAGCTGCTCTCTCTCCAGCACCGTTTCAATGCTCTGACGCACTCTGCCTCTCCTTCCAAATCCAGGAGGCTTTTGGAGAGCCAGCCAGGAGCCGACAGCACTTTGATTTACTCACCGAGGTGAAACGTGACCTAAGCCTTCCCGGGTGATCCCCCTGGGCCTCCTCCGTGAGCAGGGAAGGGGAGGAAGCATCGCTGCCCCACTGCTGCTCATCTGGGGCACCGCACCACGGGCTCGCTGGGGCAGTTCGCCCGGCACAGCACCAGTATTTGCCGGAGGGCTGGGGGTGATGAGAGGCTTAACGGCACCTTTGAAGCACGCGTCCTCGGCAGGGATGGAAAAATGCAGCTCTGGCAGCTGGCAGGCTGCTCCAAACTTTGCCCCAACAACCATAGCATGTTTGGTGCTGGAAATCTAAAAAATGGCCAAGCTCAGAGGACAGAGTGTTTTAAGCTGTTGCTTTTAAAAGCTTTATGCCACTTCCTGACAGATTTCTGCAAAGGAAAGCAGCACTACAAAAACGGAGCTTAAAGCCCCTTTTCTTGTCCCAAGAAGAGGAACTGCACGCAGACACCTCCAAGGGTGCTGCAGCGCACTTTGCTCCACACAAGTTTTGTCCATCGCAGCAAAACGCAGCAGGGCCAGCAGAGGATGCCCACGTTTATGTGAAGGCTGAACTCTGGTCTATGCATTTATCCAGAGGACTTCAGGCCTTCTGCTGCAGCAGTGCTGCACCACAGCTTTTGATGAGCTTTCAGCTGCAGAAATTACGTATAAGCACAAGGTGCCACTGAGCATTCGAGAAGCATGAGCTGCACAGGTCCAGAGGTGATGGGCTGGCCTGGGGTGAATGGATTACCTTGCGGATAGGTAATTTTGCTGCTGATTGCAGGTATTTCAGCAGAGGAAGTTTCAGATTTGAAGAAGAGATGAGGATATTTTCATAGAGTAAAATATCTCAATATTTATTGTATCCCATGACAACAGGGTTCTACTCAACAAACAAAACAAGTTAAAGCAGCACATAATACTGACAATCAAGTCACAGCTGACTCGGTGCAAGGACACCTACCAGGATAAAGGCACCGGGAGCTACATCACCAAACCTTGCTACAGCTAAGAAAGAATCACTACGGCCTGATTAAGAGAGGAACAGGACTCCTTAAAAAAGTACAACTATAAAAAAGTATATAAAACCCAGCATGGGGATGAGAAAACCTGGGAACAAGCTGAGACCTTGCTGAACAAACTGCTTCAGGCAGGCAGGGCAGGTTTTAATGGGGCAACAGCCCCATCTCAAGAGCAACCACATCCAGTGAGCGAGCCTGAACTGCACCGGGATTTCAAGGGCCGAGAGCGGAGGTCAGAGATGAGAGAAAGCGCCGCTTTCCCCGCGGAGGCACCAGATAAGAGCGCGGGGGAGTCCCGCGAGGCCACCTTCCGAGGCAGCCAGCAAGGTCTGACAGCAGCGTCTGCTTCAACGCGGCACTTAGTGCACGGCTGAGGAAAGAGCCGGGGACTGCAGCGCCCGCAGGAACGCGCTTACTGTAACCACCTCAGCTACACTAATTATCCCACTCAGTGGTACAGCAGAGCAGTGTTAGGACAAGTCCCCGAGCGCAACAGAACAGCTGTTGCACTCGTTTCTATGAGCCAGTTGAGAAGAAGATCAGTCGATTCAAAGCGTGATTTCACGAGGCGGCGTCCGGAGGAAAACTGAAGATGGCTACGCTTTCCCCAGACACAGGAGAGCAGAAGGAATTTCCTGCAATTCAGAAGACAAAGTGTTAACGGACTAGCTTCCAACGCAGAAGGCCTGGATGTACACACGGCATAAAATTACGCAGCAGACACAGTTTTGCAAGTGCCCTCTTCGTCCAGGATGCACATCAGCATTTGGCACCAGTCTCTGCACTGAAAGGCCCCAGGGACTTTCATCCCAGGGCAGTGGCCAGAGATGCAAGGACAGCTTTGAGAAGCGGGATGTGAGCAGCGCACACTGCATCTCACTGAGAAAAGCCACACTGCAGTAGGGGACCAGAGGCAGCCCAGGTGGTGGCTGCAGCATGAGCTGGAGGTGCAGCGTCAACAGGATGAAAGAGCAGGGAAATCAAATACCAGGCAGCATGAGCAGGTCTGCTGACCTGCACAAACAGTCCACTCCCTCCTTGTTCTAGAAAGCGTCATTTCCCCTTCATCCCACTACAAAAAGAGAGCATGCACCAATTTTATCATTTTAGGAGTCGTGCACAAAGCCAAGAGACCTGCAGCAGATGGCCAGGAAGCTTAGCGCATAAACACAGGTAAAGCCACAGCTTATGTCCCTGGAGAGACGTACCTTGGTCACAGCCCCAGCGTGCTGGGGCCAGCTACACCATCTCGTACTGATTGTTTGTGATGTGCCGGGACAGGCAGCAGGCCAGGAAGATGCCAATTAACTGAAAAGGGAAAAAACACACTCAGGACAGACAAAAATAGGACACGGCATTTTAGGACAGAAGCCTGACAGCTTGTTCTAGAACAAGACACGCTTAGGTCTCAGTTTTATAAAAGTCAGACCTGGACAGAGAGATTTACAAGCCACAAGGCAGGCTGTTGTGCCCCAGCAAGTGAGACTGAAGTGGAAGATCCCGGCAGGCAGAAGCCAAACAAGCTTCTTGTGAGAGATGCTCCACATCCCATCCTGTTACATTCTGCTTTATGAAGCATCTACTGTTTTATGGTAATTTCAGAGATTAAACAGGTATCAGGAGCATCACAGCCAATTACACAATCACTAGAGAACAGCAACCACCTCTCGCTGCTGCAAGGACAGTGGGGAGGCAAAGCTGGTGTTTTCACATCAGCAACAAACCAACATCTGAAGGACGTGCTGCTGTTGTCACAACACAGCCCCCCGTCCCCTTTGCAGGCGTTTGGGGTCTGATACAGCAGACAGGCACCCACGGGGAGTTTGACCTACACCAGCAAAGTTAAAGGCACATTTACATGATTGGTCCCTGCTGGCTGCACGACACAGCAGCGCTTGCTGAAAGCGTGATAAAAACCAGGAAACAGTTACAATTCCCAAACCTAGCATTAGCCGAGATAATTAGGCGGCCAGACCTGCTGGGGGCAGGCAGCTCCGCTCCCCATTTGCGTGTCAGTCACGTCCCACTGGCCCCACACAGAGCATAGCCGGGGACGTCACGGCGAGCAAGGAGAAGAAATGGAAAAGCAGCTGGGCAGAACAGAACGGCTCTGGCTCTCCGGCCCTCTCCGAGCCAGAATTCGAAACATTTCCTAGCAAACTGCAGCAAGGGCCTGTTGGCTCCTGCCCCTCGCGCAGCTCGCTGTGCCCGCTGCAGGAAACGCACAGCAGCGCGCTCACTGCAGCAGGAGGATCTTGGCGAGATTCCTCCTCCTCCCCGAGCTCGTGCTGATACCTGTTGATCCCCGGGGCCGGCAGCGCTCCGGGTCACACCGCAGCTTCTGGGCACTGCACGCAGTAAGCACTGCACTCCAGTTCCTCCAAAGCTAGAGCCTGCCGAGCTCGCTCAGCAAGTGCTCAGCACCTGGAGCCGAGTGGGCTTCCAGAAAGCAGCTAAATGAGCCCTGTCGTGCACCCAGCAGCTCCCCCTGCGACGGTTCCGGCTTCCCCACGCGCTCAGCGCTGCTGCGCGCCGCTCCTCGGGAAGTCCCGAGCGCTGCATTCACCCCGCACAAAGCCCAGTTTAGCAAGGAGCTCAGGGGCAGAGGCCTCTTGTTTCCTGCTGGGATAAAGCCTGTCAGATTAAGGACACTCACTGCATTGTTGCTGGAAGCCTGTGCAGGAAGTGTCCTACAGGATAAAGTAAACGGCAGTTGAGGAGCCGCAGGGGGAAGCAGCAGCAGCAGCAGGTTAAGGTGGTATGTGCAGCGTGAGGTCCTGCCCGTCAGTCGCTAGCGTAAGTGATACCACACGGGCGCTCTGGGGCACCCGGTTATCCAGAAAAGTGATCCCAAAACACTTCCCCGGCAAAAGGGAATATTGGCAGGCAGGAAGAACAAGGGCACTGGTTTGATCCCTGCCAACAGCAAACACAACGTGTTCGCCCAGCACAGACTCTGTTTGGCTGCTTTGGATTTTCTTAGAGTGAGTGTTTCAGGAGGGAGCTCTGGGCTCACGGAAACAGAGCTGCTCCTTCAGTCTCTGATTCAGAAGACTGCTCAGAGGTGAGGTTAAACGCAAAAGGAAGCTGCAAAAGAGCTGTTCCTGCCTGGCTCAGACAGGCCGTGCCTTTTGGAAACAGACCCTGCACGAATTCATATACCTCTGGAGACCTGCTGGCTTCGCTCAGCACTGCTCCCGTGCCAGGCAGCAGGGGAGATTTTACCTGGAAGCACGCAATGCCGAAGGAGATTCCAGCCACAATGCTCATTTTTGACTCCATCGTCGATGTCACGAGGTAAAAACAACCCTGCAGGGGAGGCAAAGGTATCATGCAAGCCCAGTGCTCGGCAGTGCCCACAGGCACCCAGCGGCACTGCCCAAACTCAGCTCCAGGAACGGCTCCGGAGCAGGAGACTGAGCAAGAAGCCCAGGCTTCTTGGTCCCTGCCAGACTGTGTGACCTGGGCAAAGTCATTCAGTACCAGCCCTGCGCTAATCACCCTTTCAGCCTGGCTGGTTATCAAAGGGAGCGGTGTCCTTGGGGTTTCTCACCACAAGCTCTTGGTTAAACACGGTGACTCATTAGAGGAGCGTCCCTCGCGTAACCCCCTTTGCTCATCACCCAGCGATCCCTGCTGGGTGAAGTCACCACTAGCTCAGGACTTTGCACGGCAGTGGAGACGTCAGCGCTACCGAAATAGACTTTTCCAGCAATCCACCTCCTTGTTCACCTGCTCTCCAACACACACCCCTGAGTGCCAGTGCTAGTGTCACGCTGGTCCCTGTTGTTGAGGGTGAAGTACTAGGGGGAACTTCCAAAACGAGGTTAGGGCAGCTCCTAGAATCCTTCCCCTTCACTCCCCCGAGTAAAACCTGTCTGCTGCCTGAAAGCAGTTCTCCTTCCAAGGCTCGCTGGTGAAGGCCAAGCCCTTCTCTACCGCCCACCTCCAGGACACACACGAGGATTTTTCTGAGCTTCACTTACATCCACAAAGACTTTGGCCTTGGCTTTGCTCGGGTCCTTCAGATCCCCCTCTGGGCAGTCATCCTGGCTTTTGCAGCAGCTCTGCGGGATTCCTCTCTGGACAAAGTACTCAGTCTTCTCCCAGTCCGTGTAGTTCTGGACCCCGCAGCAGTGGAGCTGGAGAGGATTGCAAGAGGGGAAGAGCTTGGTCGTGCCAGGGCACTTGGCTGCCACTCCTGCAGCTGCAGGGCCAATCTCCCAGCATCCTGGGAGCCATCTAGAAACTGCCCTAATCTCATTCTCCCCCCTCTTCCCTAAAGTGTCATTCCCCCCAAACTGGAAGGCATTGTGACCCTTGGGAAGACAAGAGGTGCCTCTGCTCCATGCAGCGCCAGCACCCGGCAGACCTGCCAGCAGGGCACGTAACTCCAAGAGAAGCTTTCCACGCGCTTCCCCCACCTCTCCTGCGGGTGGGCAGGGAAGGGAACGCTGCTAAACAGCCCCAGCTTCGGGGAGCAGCAGGAGGACACAACAGGCTCACACCAGCACCCTGTAATAAACACCCCGTGGTACAACAGAGCCGCCAGGACCGTGATGGAAAGAAACACCCCAGCCTGTAGCGCTCTGGGCACCGACCGGCGTGTCTGGATGACACGAGCACGTGAGCACCAGGAGGCAGAAGGCAGATACGGGCACTCACCGTTCTCTGGATGGTGTCCACGGCATCGCTGTGCTGATCTGCCGTCGTGTTGTAATTCCTCAGGGCCCGGTTAAGGTTGGTCTCGAAGTTCGCCTTAATCTGCAAGAGACGTTTTAGCAGCTGCAAGGAAGAGGCCGCAGAGCGGAGCGTCCTCCTCCTGCGCACCCCGCACGCGGCCAGCGCCGCCCCGGCAGCCACAGCCCCACGGTGCCGCGTTAGTCACCTCTCGGCCACGGCAGGGATGCCTCCGGCCACGGCCTGCGGACATTCTCTCCGGGCAACTAACATTAGAAGGCAGCTCATACCCGCCGCGGCATTGGGGATGTCGTGTGTAATAACAAGCACTTCGGTAATGCCAAGTCCCCCCCAGGCAGGCTGCTCCACGGCCCAGGAGAGCCTTGCCGGAGCTTTATTTACGGAAAACACAAGCAAAGGAATGTTTTCTGCTTTGGTCCAGGAGAGGGATCGAAGCCAGACACTAAGGGCCGGTGCTGTTTTATTTGTTCTGGCAGGAGGCCCCGGGCGGCGTGGGGCAGCAGGGCCAGGGGCGCTTCCTCCCCTCGAGCCC